CTAACCACAATGATTTGTTAGAATTCAACGACCAAATAGACACACCTTATTCGACATTCTAAAACTCGATGAGCTATTTTAACATTCTTAAAATTCAAGTGTAGATGGAGAACCCTAGAAACCACATTCATTCTAACTCCCCCCTCATTCATCTTTAGACATGCAGGCTTTCTCTCTAAAGCATGATTTTATCTGCTGTTTAATACTTAAACTTTAATTCATTTCTTTCGAGTATTTAATTTTAGCATCTAAAATTTTATGCTTCTAGACTAAATTCTACTTTTACATAACTTTCAAGTATTTACGTATATTTACAAAATTCTAATACATATGATTTTTACAATTTACCATAAAATGAATAAGAGAAAAATAAATTTTGAAATTTATAGTAGCCAAACGTTAAGTCCAACGTAGTCATGTATCTCGTAGACTTAATCTTTCTATTAATTTCCTCTATAACCGGCAAAGGGTAAACTGGGTATTTAGAAACACTATTAAGCTTTCTGTAATTGATAGCAAACCTCCAAGCCCTTTTATCCGAAGGATGAAAGTCATTCTTTTTCCTACATAGTACTACTGGACTCGCGTACTCACTATTTATGGGCGTTATTATTTGGTTCTTTAACATTTCCTGAATGTGTTCTTCGATGATTTTTTCTTTCTGTTTATCATAGCGGTAAGGTTTAGTCCTACAGGGTTTGTCGGCAGTTAACTGTATATCATGCGTAACAATTCGACAGTTACCAGGCCGTTCTGAAAACAAATTCGAAAAAGTACTCACCACTTGCTGGATGGCTTGACTTTCATGGTCATTCAAATGGCTAAGGTCGACTTGCGGTTGTTCCACTGGCTCCACCACCCTCCGATCCATCTCCAGCACAATAGAACTTTCCTGAAAATTCAGTTTGGCCTTCGCGGCTTTTAAAAACTCCATACCTAAAATAAGTGGACTTTTCAAATTTTTTACTACAAAAATTAATACCTTAAGGCTTTCGTTTTTAACTTGTATTTGTAATGAAAATTTGCCAATACATTGACAAGTTTGTCTTTGCGCTGCTATGATTTCTGTGTTTTTATTTTTAAATAATCGTAACTTATTAAAATTCTTCTTAAAAAAAGTATCACTCATAAAATTACCTTCTGCTCCTGTATCGATGAGGGCTTCTACTGGTACATCGCCAACCAGGATTTGTATAATCGGTAATTGTGAGTTTTTTACGATGACCGTATTTAAGTATCTTCTTGAGGATTTTTCGAAACTTCCGGGGTCTGGACCCTCGCTTTTACAGGCCCCTCTACTCGTTTAAAGCTTTCCTTTCAACTTCTGCGTTCTGGTTACGCGGACTGTTGTTTTCAAATTTCCTTTTTGGGCCTTGACCTTCGAGCTTCGATGAGTTAGCTTGATAGCTCTTTCCCCCATAAGAGCGATTTGCGTTTCTGGTCTGCTCATTTGAGGATTGTCTACGGAGAACTTGAGAATACGATGCCCCTCTAGCTTTTTCCGCTATTCTGCGATTTTGGAACTTGACCGCCAACTCGAAGAGTTCCTTAATGGGCTTGGGTTTCTAATTTCAAAGTAATCTTGAACAGCAGATAGCAATCTTGGTAAGATTATTTCAATAATCTCCGCGTCGGGTTTCTTCCCATACAGCATATCCGTCAGTTTAATTTTTCGCAGAATAAAGTCCGTCAACTCTTCTATATTCCGTTGAAAAAAACTATATAGTTCGGCTTCTAGCTTTGCTCGGTCTTTCGCTATGGGGAAGGCCTTTAATAATGATTTTTTGAAATTTTCAAAGGTATAAGTTTGGCCTTCGAATTTCCCTAATAAAAATTTGCCTATATTCTTCCACCATAGCGAGGCCTGTCCTCTTAGTGCAGATGTGGGAATGGCAACGTTTTGTCTTTCAGGCACAGGGTAGACCTGGAAATGGTTTTCGAGGCCTTCTATGAATATTGCCACCGAATTTTTTCCGTCGAAATTGACGTTTGGCTTGATTGATGCTCTCATCGTCTGGACCAGGTATCCAAATCCTTCCAATTGGCTTCCCATTTCTTGTTGTTGGACTTGACCAGAAGCTTTCATCCAGTTTTCGGCCATTTCAGTTCGACAAGTGTTCGGGCGCCAATGTGGTGTTGCGCGGCCCCAACCTGCACGCAACAATAATAGTGACTGCTATGAACTGGAAAGTACACAAAACTCTTAAGAAGGGTTTAACTCCCTTTTTATTTTACTTTAGAAGTTACAGATGCGTGCACTTGACGCTCACAAACTACGCCGACCCGGCGGTAAAAATAAAAAATAAGAAACTAAAAATGAATAATAACAAGTTACTACCTACGAGGCTCTCTAAACGTAACTAACCTAACCGCGTTCTAAGATACAGCTGATATTTCAGCAAACTTTCTGAATATTAAGTTGAAAGATTCAACTATCTGCCGAGGCAAGCACACAGGCCGAAACACGCGGTTCTTCAATTCTATCTAGCCACCTTCACGCTCGTGAAGCAAGAAAGCACACTTACGATCTTGTTTCCCTTCTATTTAACTCAAATTACTTCCGCTGACAATTTGAATACTTTGCGCGTTCTACTAAAATTTACATACTCTGGCATTGGCAATTCCAGGGGAAAGTAAGGCTTGACAGGAAAGATATCTTAAACTTAAAATAAATGTTAGTTAAAATAAATATAAACCCTACAATGGTATTGTCTAATGGGTCAGATAATTCATTTTCAGGTTTTATACCTAAACTTTCAAGCTCCCAAAATTTCTTTATCTGATCAGATATTATATCTTCCTCAACTATGATATTAAAGGCTGTGGACGTGTGTGTTGTACCTTTAGTGTAACCTAGCAGAGACCAACCGAATAACGTTTCAGCAGCTACTAAATGTTTGTTTAAACGCTTAAGTTTTCCAGTTACTACATCATAATAATGATCAGCTCCTATCAAAAGGAGTAATTTTTTCTTTGCAATCCCAAGAATCTGCGAGTTGTAAACCTTCTAACTGTTTGCCTAAAATGTGTCTATCCAGATTAGGAGGTGGTAAATCAGAACTTGAAATTTTTTCAGTCACGAGAGCTTCAATTTCGATTTTCAAATTCGGTGTTTCCTTGTTCTGTAATTTTATCTTAACAACGTCAAATGTTTTTCTGATGGGTGTTTTATTTCCAAACGTAAATACCGAAAGAGTCTCTGTTCGAATAACAGGAAGCTTCAATTTATCAGCGATTTCTTTTCTTAGGAAGGAACGCATACTGCCTGAATCCAGTAGAGCCTAATTAAAACCGACTGCGTAGTTGTTCGAAGTGTTACGCGACACGTTTGAAGTGAAATAGTTTTAATTTTGCTGCGTGAGAATGCTGAAAGAACATGCGAATCTTCTATACTTTTATTTTTTTCATTTACTTCTTTCTCAGCGCGAAAGCATATTGAACGGTTATCTCGACCTTTGCACTTGGAGCAGACGAGATCGCTTTGACACTGCTTTAGGCGGTGGTTTAATTTCAGACAAAGGTAACATCGGGCATGTTTACCTAATAAATTTCTCTTCTCATCAACTGTCAGTGATTCACAGTCTTCAGTAACATGTTTGGATGTATTACAAAAATAGACAGCAATTAGTAGTTTTGTTTTCTTTAACCGGCGCCAGCAGCTGCTGAGTGGAATGGACGATACTCCCTTTCCCACCCTTCTCTTTATAAACACAGGAAGTGATTTCTGATTTATGAGTGGAGAGCAAAAGATGGCTTCTCTTCTCTCGCGACTTTCCAATTCTAAACGAACAAACTGCAATAATTCGTCAACATTAAAAAAAGATGACGAATCCGTTTTACGATTGAATTCTAAGGTTATATCAGATGGCGGAGTTTTCATTATGGCTGGAATGAACATATAACTGTATTTATCCGGTGTGACTTCTAATGATTTCAAGCTGCGTATTTGAGTTTCTATAGTGTCACAAAGTTTGCGAAGTTTTAAAGTGTCACTGGATTTGGTTACTGGGGTAAGATTCAGAAGTTTTTGCATGTGTGAGTTTATAATTATATCTTTCTTGCCAAACCTGTTTTTAAGTATTTCGACAACTTCATCGTAATTTGGTTTCGAAATGCAAAAACCTTCTATCGCGTTTGCAGCATTGCCGCATAAGTACGATTTTAAATAATTAAATTTTTCGATCTTTGTTAAAGATTCATTATCATGGATTGCAACCTTGAAAGAGTTCCAAAAACTTGTCCACTGGGTATAATCTCCATAGAATTTAGCGATGGTTCACTTTGGCAGACGCGTACATTTATTGCTTTCGATTTTAGAATTAGTTTCGTTAAGAGAGTTTTCATTATCCGAATTTGTTACTTTATTTAATTCTTTCAATTTTTTTTATTGCTCTGAATTGCCATAACTGAATATCTCTTCGTATTCGATACAAGATAGAATTTCTGTTTTTCAAACTCTTCCGCCTCTGATTTCAAGTCACGCTCTATCACAGCATCTAACTCACTCAGAGCTTTCGATTTCGTGATTAATTGATCTAAATTTTCTTCTAATGTACTTGTATCAATTTCTTCTTTATTCAACTCCGATTCGATTTTTTTTAGAATCTTGGACACGGTGGTCCTGATAACTTTGCGTTTCGATTTTAATTTAACAACAGACTCTTCCGCCATAGTTACTCTACAAATTAGAAAATTTAGTCTTACCTTTTTTGCCGACTTCGCACACTTGCAACGTGCTAAATCCAATTCTTGACGGCCTAATGCACCAGCTGTTTCAAAATATTCTAAGATCTATAAATCGACATCAATCACTTTTAAAATGTAACTTTTAATATGTACAATATTTACAGATCATTGATCAAAATATGGTGGTTCAGTTGAAAAAAAAAATCTATATGCTTTCATAATCGAAAATCGAAATCAAATAGGAACCGAAGTGTTCCTAGTCAAATAGTGTGCGAACCATCAGACATCCATATATCGAACTGCCGGTGGAGAGTCTATGGAAATTCAGAAGGCACGTTGCGTCGCGTTAACACGCAACGCTAGCGCCATCTATCAATTAATCAAAATAATTTCCACAGAAACAAAGCAGCAGATGTGATTGCGAAAAGCGCAGCTAACAAGCCCCATGTGAGTAGCATTAATGTGCCCTTTGCGAACTCATATTTGAAAAACCACTTTAAAACGTGAAATAATGAAATAATGACAAAACTACTGCAAGTCGAGCACCACAGGCAGAAGGTTCCATAATTTTTATCCAAAGGTAAACCAGAATTTAAATAACGGCTCTTCGCACCTAACACAATGACCCATATATGTCTTATCTTAATAGATATGGCTTAAGAGACAGCGGCAAATGTATTTGTGGCAGTACTGTGACCAGATCACTATCTGTATGCTTGCTTCCACACAGCGAATTCACATTTAAAAAGACCAGCTGTAATCAATACGCTGCCATGGATCGAGAACACAATTAAGAATAAATATGCGCTCAGCCGCATTAGAGACTGTACACTAACATTGCTAAGAGTAGTGCTGACAGCATGGAGTTACTTCTTTCGACACTGTGCCGTCAGCAGCCAGCTCTGTATATATATTAATTTATGTCTTGATTTTTTGTTTTGCTTGGTTTTGTTTTTAATAATGTGTACTATTATGATTAATCTAGCACTCATTTGATGGATTTCATGATTTGTAATGTATTTGTTCAGATTTCATCTTTACAGCTGTACCTGTGTCTATACCCTTTCCTTATTACGTTTGTATGCCTAACGTGTGCCACAATAGTGAAACGTTTCCCCCTTAGTCTGAACAGTCTCTACCATACACTTTCTTTCCATGATTTGGTCCTTCTTTCAGTATTCCTCACTTAACGTAGTCAATTCTCGGACGATATAGCTCTAAGCTCTGAATGTAATCAGTGAAGGATGATACAGCTCTAAGCTCTGAATGTAATTCCCGGAAGACACAATACTAAGCTCTCTCTCTCTCTCTTTTGTTTTCTTTTAATTCTATCGACGGGATCCAACAGGTTGAAGAGCAGCTTACCCCAGTGGGGCCAGCTGTTTTGGCGATGGTGGAAGGAATGAAAGTATTAGCGATTAAACCTCACACTTTAAACGACAGAGTATGTTTTCGCTTATTTTCCCTTTATTTTCGCTTTGCTCCGTTCGTTTCTTTTAATGTTTCGCCCCTCATATGGAGACTTAAGTCTTGATTGCTCTCGAAACTGATTTCAAAATCTACGCGAAAAATAGATCGCTTTTCTGTTGTAAAGTATTGATTTATTTTTATTAACTAGTTATTTTGTATTAATTAGCTTTTTGTCTTTTTCGCTTTCCATTTTCGTGCCAGAATGCTAATTTCTAGTTCGCGCGTATTCAAATAAGATAGAAAAAGATCGTATTGAAAGGAAAGTTTTAGATAGTAGAATCAAAACGTGTTCCGCCTGCTGAAGGCCATGTTACTAGCTGATTCTTTTGATAGCAGTTTATCTGCGGCATAAAATTATTCCCGCCAGTAAGCTTGTCATGCCGATATTAGGTCTGAGACAACTGGTGCGTTTTCTGTCTCTGTAGCCTTTGGTATAATTACATTTTACTTAATTAAGTTCAATTCGTTACTTTTGATATACGCCATAAATGCTGACGGGTTCTGTAAGCGCAAGCTGTGTCTTCTGTTAATTTATGAGTCAACAAAAGGATCCTTTCAAAGATTACAGCGATTACTCGGAAAAGCCGTAAAAGTAATTGGAAAAGCCGGAGGGATGAAAAATGAGCAAACGCCTTCGCCGGGAATCGAACCACGGACCTCTGAATTACCGGCTCAGTGTTAACCACTACACCGCGAAGGCACGTAGAGAAGGTGGGATAATTACCTTATAACTGATCCAAGGTGAAAGTCATTAATTCTGAATCTTGACAGAAGACTTATTTCCTTTAATAAGCTTAAGAACTGCTCCCACCGTTAAGTATTTACAAACTTCGAAATAATGTCATTGGGGATTTATTAATGTTTCCAAACCTGGCTGGAAAATATTTGAAAAACTCAGGAGGCCCAACTTCGTTGAATTTTACCTTCAAAACTGAATCGCACTAGATCTCAGTTATCTCTGCGCATGTTTACGTACTGATTCTAAATTCATTGAGAAAATAAAAGAAAGCAAAGAAAACTTGTCTTCCAAAGACTTTGAAACTGCAAACCTTGTTTAAGACTCAGTTATAAGGCTTATAGTTTTTTCCGCGTGTTTTTGATGCAATGCAATTTCATCTAAACTTGATTTGTTCACATTTGCATGTTGGATGGTTTGCATTTTTCATTTGTGTTTCCCTAAGAATGCTTTAACTTGGTCACATATGTATGTAATATCTGATAATCGCGTTTTGAAATTCCAATCGGATAACTGTTTTGCTATATCGACCATGAAGGATAATCTTGCAACAATACTGAATCAGAAAACAAACTTGTGTTTTTATTTTTGGATATTAAAAACTTGCATATTTCTTCTTTCAAGTGGTACAATAGGACGAACCGCAATATTTGATTTTTAATTCACTAAAAAAGCAGAGAACTGTCGCTGATTTAAACCCTGAGATCCTATCAAACTGATAATTTTTTGACAGTTGTCAACACATTTTCCATCTTTATTACCTTCCCACATAATACTTCTTGGTGTATGATGCAATGTATATGGTAAATCGTGGATCCATCGGAAATTTCATTCGTTTTTTTTCGCAGTAATGCCCCAAACTGTAATTTTTTTTCAGTCATTGAAAGGGCTCCATCTGTTGCTGTAGAAATCATTTCTGACAGAGGTCATTTTTGTAGAAGCTCACAAACATAGTTATATATATTTTGCCCTATAGTAATGACATGCATCTTTATTAGCTCTAGTAATTCCTCAAAAATGTTGAAATTCGTGTTGCAAGTACGAAAAAACACAACTAATTGAATTACGCCCCCAATGTCCGTACTCTCGGTCATGTTCAATGGGAAAAGTTTCAAAACTAGATGATTTTGGTTTGATCCGATCACTTAAATTGCTGGCGAAATCGGTAACACTTATGGCAACGGTGTTTTGAGACAAAGAGATTCCTTGAAAAGCCTTCACACTTTCAGGGCAAACAATTTTTAAATTTAATTAACAAGTCAAATTACCTTTGGGAAAAGGTTTCGAATGCTTAGGTATCAACTTCAACAAGACGTAACTTGCATGCACTACAATTTGACTTTCTTGTTATACTTTAGTAAACATAAACTGCTCTTTTTTCAGTCCCATCTTGAACTCTTTGAACTTTTCGTGTCTCACTAATCTTTCCTAATTATCATATTTTGTTTTATATTCATAATGACTTTTAATGATATATATCTTTGGTACAGTAACAGCATTGTTACATACCAAGCAGATTATTTTATCTTTTGTTTTACAGCAAAAATAAGCCTCTTCCCACTTTTGTTTTGGAAATTTCAATGCTCATCAACAATTTTCCGGTAAATTTTTCTGCCATCTGATTTCGATAAAAACACACTGAATACATGGACCTAAAATAGATGAGTAAACTGTAACACAAAATAATGAGAAGACACGAAAAAGAAGCTGAACATCCGACAAAAGTCGCGATATGCAGCAGTAAATAAGCACTTCATGTGATTCAGGTAATGATTTACGTGATTAAGATGATGTATGAGATGGGGGAAGGGCAAAAAGGAAAGTTTAATCGGCAAGCAAAGGATTTCATTAAATTAGAATATTTTGATCACATGTTTCAGCTCGGTCTGATTATTAAACCAGACTGCTTCACGTTTATCAGACGCACATTGAATTTCATTCTCAAGTTATACAAATGCCTTCCCCCCTTTACCTTCCTTTTTATGTTCTTACCTTTAGATATATCACGGTCTTGAGTTTGTTATGTGAAGATCCCATGTGGGAACTCAGTGTTATAGAGCCGGACACGTCGCCTGCTGCGCGGCGATATTACTCTCGGTGTGCCGGTCGTAAGAAAGTTAGAAAATACCAGTGAGAATTGAAATTTACTCGTGGTTTCGAAAACCAAAATCATTTTTAATAAAATATGCCGGCTACAGATAAAGTAATGATATTTAAGTTAATTTTAATGGCGTTAGCGATCAAAGCAAGAAAGTATAGGCATTGTTATTGTATTGCAGTAGGTATTGTTATCGTCTGCTAAAATATTCGCAGGCATTGGTGGGAAAATGTGTGTCGGAACATTACTAGTAATCGGTCATTGGAGGGGGCGAATGTTGTGTTATTAATAATTATTGTAATTAGAATTTTTAAAAGTTAATCTGCGAAATTTTTGTTAAAATTTTAATTAAATTTATATTTTTCCTCCCGTTTGCTTTATTGTTCACTTTTTATAATTGCGAAATTTCTTTTTTTTAATCCGGAAGCTACATAGTACTGCTTATAACTAATACAGATGTGTTTGCATTCTTCAATAATTATTAACTAGTATAGAAACGTATTGAAGGGCAACGAGATGAAAGATGTACAAAAGGAACTTTTTACTGTAAAAATTACAAAGGGATTCCCCCCGTTCCTCTTTTAAAGTCAAATTTAAGAAGGCTGGAATTTAGGACCTCGGTTTGGTTTGATAGTTTCAGATGTTCTTTATTAGAATTTGTTCTTTAGGAATTAGTTCTTTATGAGGTTTTCTGCTAGCTCTAGAATGCATTGGCGATAAAGAAATCTAATTGGGACAACAACAACAACAACAAACAACAACAACAAAAAAAAAAAAAAAACGTACGAAGTTGTCACCTACTGGAAAATTTATTTCATACGATGTTATTTTCAGTGAGCAAAATAACGTTTTTGCTACTAACTTGCATGTTCGTTCAGCAATTATTCTATAATGAACATGATTAGCACTTTGTTACTAAAACTGGTAATGTGTGATGAGATCTGGTGGTAATAATGTATGTATGAAGTTGAATTTGAATCTGAATCAAAGTAGAAATCCAACGTGGAAGACACAAAATGTTAGAAAGAGAATACTGAATAGCAGTTTTTTTTTAGCACGAAGAAAATGATAGGCTCCTATATATCTTCATAGGATAACATGGGAGGAATTTTATCTTGTAAGATAAAACCGATTGAGGGAAAACATGTGTATTGGGGCAGGTAGGAAATGGAAGAGTGCTTTTCTGTGTAGTAACAGTATCCGCGCGATTTATACAATTCGTCGAACATAGTTTTGTATGTGGAATGGTAGTTGGCGTTACAAAAACGCGCTGGAAAACATAATAAAATTTCAAATAAAAATAATATCCATGCTCCGAATGAGATTATTAAGGAATAAAAACTTCTGCTATTTTCATTATATTTTTGAGCTTTCAGCAGTTGACACAGGAATTAATACTGAATCGGTTTGCTTTAAATTAATTTTACTTTTTACTATATGAATTCAGCACTGTTTTATCTCTCGCAATTTGTAGCTTTCAACATACTTCTGTTCTGATTCTCAGGCTGCGTGAATGAAAGAATTTTTTTTTTTTTATATTGCAGGAAAGATGTGTTTAGTTTTGTTAATTTTATTTGATTTTCTGTGAAGGTTTTTCATAAACAGGTACACAATGCCCTTGGACATGACAAGCATTGCAGTGCTTTTCAAATACGTTATGGTGGTTACAAAGGCATGTTGCTTATTGATCCAACATTGGAAGGTACCAATATAGTATTTCGTAAAAGTATGGAGAAATTTAGTTCCCCTGGAAATACTAGGTTGGAAATTGCAAGAACAAGTGCTCCAGGTAATAAATATATTCTTTTTATACACTGATAAATAATATAATGCGTTTGCATCCTTGTGCATAAAAAAATATCTGTTATGTATAGGTTTCTTGTTGCTGTGTTACTGTCAATGACATTTTATCACCGCCTTTATCTTTCTTTTGTAATATCTTCATTTGCCAAAATTGTTTTCCACTAAGAACTACAATAAAGGTTCATTTTAGTCTTCATTTTTCCTGTTTATACAGGATAACCCTTGTTAGCCGATGTCATATGTGTGTACCGGTCAGAACGTCCATTGGTAGTAAACTGAAGCGCACTTGAATGTGGTAGGGCATATGGTTACTGCTAATCAGTGAGAAACGAGTACGAATGCGGAGAAGATAGGGAGGAGCTAGTTCCGAATGCCATTGAATTGATAAATGGTTTGGTTTTTCGACTATAGCAAAGCAAGCGATGCCGGCTGCCTAAAAGAGCGAAACTGACTTATATCCACTTTAAGCATAGAGAAAACCATGAAAACTCCCATGGAGTAGGCCTGTTCGGCTGGAATTGAAGCCGGCTCGGACTACCAATATTCAGTGACTTTACCATTAGACGGCTGGTGAGCCTATTGAACTGACAGAAATTACTCCTGATGAATGTTTTGAAATAAAGCTAGCAAGAAAGCACGTAACAAAAGCGAATGCAAAAAATTACAAATTCTGTTCTTTCGAAAATAGAAGAAAATATCAACATTTAAAAACTGGGGCCCAGAATTTAAAGCAAGTTGCTATTAGTGCTGTTGAAGAGAAAAATGAAACTTATAGCAGAAATTTTTTTTAAGAACTGGCGAGAACAAATAAATCTATTTTGAAGAAATTTCTATCTTTAATGAAAAGTCTGAGTGAGAAATTCAAAGACCAGAAAAGAAAAATATTAGAATTTGTTTTGCCTTTGCTAATGTGAATAACGTCACGGCTAACTATGCTGGTGTCATTATTAACCTATCACCATGTGACAGGATATTATCGTGGGTTCTAGATTTAAATCTGTTGATCTGATTACATCATTAACCTCGGATGAGGGATTGCATCAACTTAAGGCTCCATCTACTGATGTTTTAGAAAAAAGGAGGCAGATTCCCGACAAACAGGTACCACAGATATAGAAATACGAACAGATTGAGTATTTCTCAATCTGTTCGTATTTCTAGATATTTTAAGTTCGTACACTTAAAGACAAACGACAGACGTACTAGAAAACTTGCACTTGAAAAATCCATCCTGCAAAAAAATGCAAATTAAAGTTTGGAACTGTAATAAAGAAGAACGTTTATGAAGACTTTATCCTACATCTGAAGTTCCGATGAGTACAATAAAGCGGCCATCTTTTAAGAGGCAGAGGGGTTGCCGCATTTAGGAAATATTTAGGAAGAGTCCGATTCAGTCCTTCCCCTCCTCCAATATTCTCACGGATTGTGAAATAAAAGAGCATGCTGTGGCTTGCGTACCGTATAATAGGCATTGCAACTAAATATGACTCATTAAGTTTATCGAAACAATGTAGGGTCAGTTAATTTTAATTAGCCTATATTTTATTCAAGTAAAATCAATGTACTTATAGGTTGTGAGGTATTTTTTGAATTACTCAAGGCAGAAAAATTCTCACAACCTATAAGTAAATTGATTTTACTTGGAATGTAAAATGTAGGGTCAGCTAATTTTGATTCGCGAGGTATACAAATATCAGAAATGTTGATTTTCTTCATATGTGTTAATTCTTTGATTTTAGGTAGCACAAGAAATGATGATATTTTTGAAAAGTTACCTACATCGTTAGAAATTTGTGCTATTACTTTATTTTTAATAAAAGTAGACTAAAAGGAAAGATGAAAAATCAACGATGCTCTCACCGGATTCGAAGTCCGGACCTCCGGATTGCTAGCCGGTTGTGCTAGCCAGTTACACCACGAAAGCACGCAGGGAGAAAATCCTCCCTCCTTACTGGGAGTAACTGGCAGTAAGGAGGGAAAATATCTTTGTAGCCTGACTGTTGGTCAGATGCAGACTCATCCTTGAAGCTGCACCTTGCAAATAGAAAGAAAGTCTCAGAGTGTGGGAAATGTTTACATTAAATTTTCATCCCGTGTATATGTACCCAATCTGTGTGACTGTAAGTAATAGATCTGATTCTCGGGTTAGACGTCTTACCGAGTTGTGACTTTTGTTTAAATGCGAAGAATAATAATCTCTATACCTTTTTTTCACTAAAAACCATTTTCAGAATTCATGAAAATGAAAAAGGAAAAATTTATTGAATAACAGTTTAAGAGAATATTATTATTCCGCTTGAGTCGAATGGGTCATCATAGGCGCAGAAGTAGATAGCCTGCGGATTGACTATACTGATTTAGCTGTCAAATAATTGCAATTTTGAAAACTTGTTAGTAACTGCTGATCTCGCGAACTTCAAAAGAAAACACGCCATCTAGAATCGCCAACTTAAGTTCATCTCCTTTGAGAAAAGGGATGAAATTGCTTTTCTACTGTAAACAGTGTACGAATTTCGTGTGATCATGAGTAGTCTCGGAGGTAGTTGAAATCTTTAAATCATATCACGTAATTAAATATAGATCAAATAGTTATTATAAATTATTTCATATTTGTTCATTGCATTCATGTTGTTTTCATATTTGTAAATTTAAATTCGTATATTCAAATTTTAACATAAAATTTATCAAGCATCATAGGTTGAATGAAAATGCGATATCAGGTGTGCATGGGAAATCGCTTATTAAATAACATCTTCGATACTTTCCTTTTGCGTACAGAAATTTCTGAAGAAGAGAAAGTACAGAAATTTCTGAAGGATAAGCAGTGTAATGTTATCACTAGACATCTTTCTAATCAGTGAGCTGATGTTGACTGCAAACACTGAAGTGATGTTTAAAAGCAGTTATCATTTATGTACACTACGCATAAAAAAAAAAAAAAGAGAGAGAGAGACAGTTTTAATCTCTCGTTTTAGGCCGACTGACGACATTCAACTTGCGCTTCTCATGTCTCGAAAGCGTGACTTGGGATATGTATTAGATTTATATAGAGCTAATTGTTCTAGTATTTGTAATTTGTTCTAATGTAGGTAATTTGACACAAAATCGGACTTTTTCTGAAATAGATAGCATGCCAATTTTTTCCATATTTCAATTCTACGACTCAAATTATGCCAAACTGCCAAGTTTTGTAAACTCGCACTAGTAGTTTTTAAAAATTTAGCTCTCAATGTTAATTGAATTTGATATGTATTTATTAATATCTCTTTTTAATTAAACTTATTTGATTCTTCTTTTTATATTTCGAAATTTAGGTTCATTCCAAATAAAATTAGGCCATTTTTTATGATTTAAAATTTGTATTTTTAAATAATTCTTATATATTTTTTAAAAAATGTTTTGAATTATAAACTATAAATTTTTTACCATCATCCTTATCTTTTACCATCATCTACTTTAAATCATTAATTTAAAGTAATCTACTTTAAATCATTAATTTAAAGTAGATGTATTTCTAAGCAAACCTGCAAATAATTTTAGTTAATTTTTTTTTCAAGTTTTCGATTCAAAATTTCCAAAGATATATACAGGAATTTATATATGTGCGCATTTTGAAATTTGGCATATTTTTTTTAAAACGATAACAAGATCAAATGCGATTTAGGCACTTTGTTAAAATTATTTGAAAGTAGGAAAAATGTACTTTTTTCCCGCTCATGCATAATGTAAAAAGGGAAAGGATAATAGGTTGCCATATATTAAGAAATTTGCCAAGTGAATTATTCTTGGCACAAACTGAAAAAATGCGCCAAGATAAATTTTTTAATTTCTCAGTAAATTTCGCACCAAATTTTACAAAGTTTAATATTTTGGTATAATTTCAGTCGTAGAATCGAAATATGAAAAATAATTGGCATGTCATTTCAGAAAAAGCCCGATTTTAGGTCAAAAATACCTATATTAAAACAATGCTATATATAAATCTCATATAGTCGCACTTTCGAGACATGAAAAACGCAATTTGAGTTTCGTCACTTGCCCCAGTAGAACTTGAAATACAGAGCTGTCCCACCCCCCTTTTTTTTCCGCTGTGTACATAAGATTTGTGCTTACTTGTTAAACACCTCAAAGGAAACCTCGTCGAGGTGTTAACTGTTTTCAGGTTAGATTAGGTTATTGGAATATGAAAGCTTACTAGGTCTGTCTATTATTAAGGGACAAGATTCCTCCATGGAAAACGTTTTAAGTGACACTGGTTCGTATTCACGTTACACATGGAAAAAACTACGAAAATCAAGCATGCTGTCAGCCCGTTTACTTGGTTGGAATCCAGGACAAACTATAAACATTCAAAGGCCTTGTTCATCGTTTTTGCTTTATAGATTTCATGTCCTGGAGGAACAGTATATCTTGAATAATTGAACTTTCTTAATAAGTAAATGCATAAATTTCATGTGATGCCAGTTTAGGATAAAATAAAATGATAGAATACCTGTCTAGAATTTGTCATTTCTAGCAGCTTATTTTAAATAGAAGACCGTATATTCTCCATCTTTAATTTCTGGATCTAGAATTCTTAAGCCAGTAAACCTGTCATAATTACTTGAAATAAAACTGCTTGAGGCATTAAACTGATATCTTAATTAGCCGAGATAATAATTAAAAACTAATTTTCCCCTACATTTTGCCTACATTTTCCACTTTCGTTTTTGGGTTTTCCCTATTACAGAGGTTTGGCTACGCGTCAAATTCTTTTTTCTCGAATATCTACGGAACGGCGCCGAGTTGAAATTCGAGACGCGTATCCTCGGCTTCCAAAAAATTCTCCGAATCCATCGATACCGTTCTCATCTTCGTACGATTTCAATCGGCGGAGACATTAATTAAAAACTGCGAAAACGTTAATTTCCACTCTCATTTTTCCGAGTGGCAACAATAAACTATCGGCGACACATACTTGAGCCGCTTATATATATATATAAAGATTTATTTTCCGCATTATTTAATATTCCAATGATAAGTCAGCTTGCAGCCCACGTGACAACTGGTTACGCCCCTTCGCCATTAGCTTCTGCCCTTCTGGACTCACACTTAGAACTTATTTCCTTTTTAGCGCCCAAAGAGCAAACATCTGATGACAGCCGGAACACATCAAGCAGAATGCTTGATAATCTCGGCATAAGTGTAACTTGGAACTTGGATTATTCAATATTATAATTATCAGTTGTGAATTTTTTAATTTTCAGTTTGTGAATACTTCTTGCATTCGTATGTTTCATTCCTTTCATTTTATAATATTTATACTTCTACACCCTCGTGTGCAAATTAAGACAATTTTCATGTCTATTTTTACTAAATGTGTTGAACCAAAGGTACTAATTATGCATCCTAAGAATTATGCATATATTCAGATTCGAGTACTTAAACCTACGCGTGCGTATCTGCAGAGCTGTGATTGTGAAGGGGATATAAACGCACGAGGAGTTTACGGCGATTCTCCACCTTCTAATTTTAAATTTCCACCTTGTAATTTCAAATTCAATGAGTTCAACAAACTGAAAATATCTGATAAATGAGTCAATACAACTTAAACACTTGGGTTTCGGATTTCCACATGCAGTTTAGTTTACTTGGAGATTTCTAAAAATTCACCGTCACACTGGGCAACTTGTTTTACTGTGAGAAGGGACCTTGCCGATATTAAGATTCATTTTCAGTTCGATATCACAACGTGGATTTTGGACTGTCTAAGCTTTACTGATAATAATGCGTACATAAATGACTTTTGAATGGTAAATCTCTTTCTTTGTTATAAATATATATTAAGACCAGGTTTCTTTTCTTTACAATCAATTCATAGTTTTCTTAATTTTGCACACGAGTTTATATGAATATACGTTAGAAATATATAATCAGATTAAGGAGAACAGATGTCTTAATCTTTTGAAATGTATATGGGTCCTTGACATCGTTGGTAATTTCTTATCAACTTAAGTACAGATCGGAAGTTTCTAGAATGCGAAAAATTAAATATGTGTTCTCAACCCCGTACGCAATGCCATAAATAGAGGATGAGAAAAGCTGTCAGTCATTATCGACAGGCAATCTAACCTATTTCGAACCCCTAAATTTAAAAGTTAAATTAAACAAAATTTTAAATTCCTAAATGTTAACCTAATAGTTAAGTACTTAAAGTAACCTGAAGTTTTGTTAAGTACTCAACCTTTCTTACTTTTCTTAGTGAGCAGTTTTGCAGTTTTGCCGCATTATTTCTAAGACTGAATTTGCTATATTCATTAAAAGAAATTACGATGTTATCTTATCCTTAAGCATGAGAATTATGAGCACTTTAATCTGCTATTGAATATTCAAATTTGTTTCTTTATCCAACCTCTTTATTGTTGAGATTTGATACTCGTCGAGTGTTTTGACCAGCCGTTCAGGAGATCCAACCAACCGTTTAGGGACTGTTAACACAATGTATGTGGTTATGTACATTTTTCCTGTATTGATATGCTCAAATCTTTCATAAGCTATGAAATCATATCAAATTTTTCAAATTAGTAGATTTATGAGAAAATTTATATGGAAAATGCTTTATGTAAGTCTTGAGGAAATTCATATTACATGTAAGTGGTATTTAATTATTTCTGTTACAGTTAAACTACAGCTGAACAGACCTTTCATCGCCATTCTCAATGACTTAGGAATAAGACACAGAACTTTTTTAAAATTACAAGAAGATGCATTGAATACTTTGATGAAAATTCTTTTTGAAGAAGAAAAGGCAGCTTCATTTCTGTTATCGCGAACACCATCTTCCCTCTTCCCATATAAAGAACTGAGTGGTTCTGGCATATATTTGACAACAGAACCATACTTTAGATCACTTCTGTTGGCATTACATAGACATTATGGAGGTAAGAAAAAATTCTTATCTTTTAACTTGTACAACTAATTTCAGATAGAAAATCCAGAAAATATTTTAAGAAGTATTTTACTAGTAACATTTTCCTTTTTCGCTAGATATTTTCGTAAGCTTTCATTACGTACATGGCTTTATTTTATATTATATCTGTTTTCTAAATCTTCTTTAGTTAAACAAGATGAACAGTTATCGATAATGAATCATCATGAATCCTCTCTCAGCTGATCATAGACGATTATGATTATATATTATTCATTAATAACAAAATTTAATGAAAAATTAGGCAGAAAAGCAATATTATATTAGGTCGATTTTTTAATAAAACTATCCATTTTGATGACGATCAGATGTAAGTCCGTTCTCAAGGGATAGAATATTTTTACGCAGGAAAGGCTTTACTCCTGAAGAAGAGGGGCGTATATCTGATCGCCCTCGAAATCGATAGTTTTATTAAAAGTAAAAAATTTTGCTTTTACTCTGGCGTGTTTCTTTTTATCTTAAATCAATATAAATCAAAAATACATTTAAAGAATTATCCCAAATTCGAGATCTGTTAAAAATTTTAGTCACTTGCTGGTGTATGTAGAAATCGAAAAAAAGAATGACATAAAAGTTTAAATAGAATCAAATTAGTGAAAATATCTAAATATTTAGATGTTAAAATCGAAAAAATATGTTATGGAAAGTTTCAGATTGAATCAAACTAATCAAATTCATACGAGTATTCACTAATACAGTGGTCGAAGGCTATGCACTATTTCAATATTTATTTATTTATTTAATTTTTTTTAGAAGCATGCCCATAGAAGTATTCTTAAATAGTGTCGTCAGCGCTACTTAAGCAAAAATACAAATTTGGACCTCGGTGATCCAAAAACTGTCCTCCAAATTAAATGATGGATTATCTCAGATTCAAATAATAAGTAAATGATGATATAAAAAGAATAATGTAGAGGCAGCCAGATTACTAATATAGTTAACAACTTGGCCTTAGTTGTAGTAACAGGATTTATATATACATTGAAATATTTATTTATTCAGTTCATTGTCCCTCGGAAACGATGAGATGTGCAGTTGCTGAAGAATATTTGGAAGAAGGACGGAAATTTTCATGAATGAGTGTAAACAGTCGGCAACTACATTTATGTTTACATTGCTTGATCTAGAGATGAAAGACATCTAAGGAATCTTACGCGAACGCTCTCCGAACTGTTAAGCAACTTCCATCTGCCTTATTATCCGGAACTAGCAGCAGTGTGAAGTCACAACATGTCGTCGTGTGCATGAACGCATCCTCTCGTCAGTATCATGAGGAGGATGTTGTGAATGTATATACGTTACAACTATATTCTAATCCTCTATGATTCACGGATTTTTCAGACTGCAGCAAAAGCATTTGCAGTATTCCAATAAGGAAACAGAACAGCATGTTGGGTGTCAGCCTCATTAACCTTTCTTTAGGCAACGATGTATAACCATACCACCCAACCGAGACAGTGGATAGTGACGATGACTGCCGTACCGAAAGGCTCGATTTCTTATCTCGTAGAAGGTATGGATGTTTATAAATGTATAGTGTCTGTATAGTATAGAGGGCACTCTAAATATGCGACGAGCCGAAAGGTTGAGGGTTGGTTGTAGGGAAAGAAGGGTAAAAGACTATGGGACCCATCCTCTCGAGGTGCTCTCCTTCAAAACTGGGGGCAAAATTGGGCAAAGTCGTACTGTCGCCTATATGGTGCCTAAGTCTCCTGCCAACGACAGGAGCAATCTTGAGCCCTTGTGACAGGAATTTCGTGGGCTTGCTCTGATAACAGATACATGATATGATGTTACTGTCGATCGGATGGGGTAACACAGAAACAAAAAAACGAAGGAGCAACCACTGTGTATGAATTAGTAGCAGCTCCTCATTTAAATTCCGATGCAATCTGTTTCAAGGTAAACTGTACGTTTCTTGTAAAAATACAAGAAGCCGTTCATTCGACGTTTTGAGAATTAACGGCATGTTTGCAGACATTGCTTCTCAATGAAATGTTGACAATCAGAGATAATAAATCAAGCGTTAATATGGTATACTTTCTTTGAGATGAAACTTAATTGTATTTTACACAGCTTTAGGATTGAATCTTAGCAGATATGTGATTAAACTGACATGTCTGCTAAGATTTTGTGAACAGATGTTTTGATGTGAAAACTCAAGAATTTCAGCAGTTGATCGCTATCAAACTCATTAACAACGCTGCCCTAACCAGGCCAGGCCTAATGGTTGCTGACGCCCCGGGTCATTTGAACTTTGAGGCTTTCTCTAAGTATAAAGCTTTTCACAAAGCAAAAAACTAAAAAATATTGAAATGAATTTATCATCTTGTTTTTTTATCATACAATAAACAATATTGTTTCTCTCAACCAGTATTTTACACAGTAGGAAACGTTAGCCTACCTTAAACATTTTCTAGCCTTTAGATCAGCAAATCTTTTCATGGTACTTCCTACGTTTTCTTTTCCATGTCGTTATCTATAGATAAAATTGCCAAAGAATTGAAACTGTCTTGAACCTTACATGAATGACCGTAAGTTTGTTTTTGTAAGCTTTAGTGTACTAAACTTTTCTCGCCAACGGTTACAGTAACAGATATTGTAAGCATCTTTCTTGCCCACAAATTTGGCATGACAAATTTAAACTTAGTGGATTCTATTGGAAGCTTTACACCTTAAGGAAATAATTCTTTATATATCTAGTTCAGTCAAGAGATTAGAATCACGGACTCGAATCACGGACCTCTGGAATACCGGCCCAGCCTGCAGACCACCACACCACGAAGGCACGCTAGGAAAGAGGGAGAAATACCTTATAGCGTTCAGCTAAATACTAAGTGGTGCTCATTAAACGTTCTAAAACTTTACACCAATGCTCTCGTTCTTTTTTCGTTTGTGACTGAAGCTCTTTGTCATTAATTTTATTAGTTTATATTCACAGTGATATATGCAGCCATTCATTTAAATATTTTAGATGATGTACTGAATTTTCATGTAGCTGTAATTGTGCAGTCATTAATTCCAGAATTTCCTAATATTGACTTACTGGGAAGTAACTGACCGACTATGCCAAAAATTTTGCAATAAAAGCAATAAATTTTATTGGTGTTCAGAATAAATAAACCACTTTATAAGGAAATTTTCATCATTGTTTATTTTTCTATGCATCATCATTTCAGAGAAACTACGTTTATTTATATCTTTTGAAAAAATGTACTGCTTATTAATAGAAAGTGGTCCATTCATAATGACGTAACTTTCATCTATTGAAAATTCATCTGGCCAGTATGCTGAATCATTGTAGTTGACATTTATTTTAGTTGAGTTTTCAAATTTATTTCCACATTCTCAGTATTCCCGGCTGTGTATGTGAGATTATTATCTGAAGCCTTGAATTGCATTACAGTTGAAATCTTGAATTTTTTATTCATGCATGTAAATGTTTTTTTGTTCAGCGAATATATTTTTATTGAGTTTGACCTCACAATCATTAGATAACATACCTAAGCATATATATGTAGCTGACCAAGTTGAACCTGCGTTGTTCGCACTGTTTGAATACCTTTGGAATTTAATTTCCAAATGAATTAATTTGAATTTAATACCTTTGGGTGTTTCTTTCCTACTACTTCCTGAAGATGTTTTTTTTTTTTCTGTTTTCATAGCTAGATAGCATTTCTGGAGGCATTTCAAAATTTTCGAAGTAGAAAAAATGAATTGAATCGAAACTGTTTATAATAAACAAATAAAAACACTCGGTACACTCCGCATACCATAATAAATGGCAGAAAACTAAAAACGCAAGAACTCTCTCAGAGACAAACAAAACGTTGATTCTAGCTCGACATCGGCTCAATGTTGCCATCTATATTTTTTATTCAATTTTTAAGTAGGAAGTCGGAACCTGAAAAAATAGCAATAAAAAAGTGCTATAGTTCAGAGCGTCGGAAGCTGAACCCGAGTGACATTCGTACTTTCGGAGAGAAAAATATTAGCTTGAAAAACTTTGTATTTATTATTATGAGATAAAAATGTGTTTAAAACGTCAGATTGAGAAAAACTTGTATTTTTTTTCCCCTTTTGAGGTGGGGGAGATGCTTGTTAGCGCCCAGGCAACTGCCCTTGTAGCCCGTACTTTGAGCAGGCACTAACTCTAACCATATTTCTATAGTCATTTACTATATAAAGATATGCTTCATTTAAAGTACTTTATAAGATTTAACATACCTTGAAACTTGACAATATTCTGCTTATTTGCTTATTACTACCCATTTGTGTTTGTTCTACTTCTTCCAATATTTATATTATAACTATTTCATCATTTTGCATTTTATAAAATTTCTTGCAAACAAGTGATTTTAATCCTAAAAACTTGTTTTATTAGGCATTATACCGCCGAAAGAAATGGAAAAATGAATTTAATCATCTTATCAAAATATAGCCTTTTTGACTTTAAAAATCTCACTGAAGAAACTTTTATCTCGTGTGTTATCATTAGTAAATAAGTTTCCAACTTTTATATTTACTGAAAGTACGACGCAGTACATACTGTTCCTAAATACTAAAATCTACTAAATAAAAGAGTCGTAGAAAAGTGTGGAAAGACCTCGTAGAAAACGGAATTTCATTATTAATATTAACTTTTTCCCTCAAAATTGCCTGAATGGAAACTCAAAACTGTCTTCTAGAAATGGACAAATATCAATCGTCGATGGCGGTCAGTAGTAGCTTTTATATTTTTTCTCAAAAGCTTCCTCAAGTTCCGTTAAAGGATATGGAGGTGGATATTCAACATAATTCGAACCTAAACCTCTAAGTTTTACTACAAAAGTCTGTATAATACTGAGATAAGGAGACTGGGAAAGCCATGATAAAAATAGGAAGCATGCTCAGAAAACTGGACGGTGCAAGATAAAGAAGTTGAGATCTTATGCTTTTTATCTGTGGTGGCATGAAACAACTTGTCCGTCCCCCTCAGATAACGCTGTTTAATCTGCAGGCATGCTAAATAAGACAGAATTGCTAGCAGCTAAACTATTATTTAGTATACCTCATTTAAGTAAAAGTTAAAAAACAAAACATAGACAAAGTAAAATTGAAAATAACGCCTTAAGAGAAACGTACCTTTGAAAATTACACCAGCAATGCTATAAAGATTTAAGTCATATAGTATATATTATGCTTTACGGGATAATCTGGCCGTCTTTCAGGCACTCGTTACCCTTAGACATTAGCTGAAGTAATCCCACTGAAGAATCCTCACTAGCTGAAGTGCCGCCACTACTTCCGTTGTCCAATCCCTCAACACTCGGCCTCTCTGCTTTCTCCGCCGGTTTGACTTTAGCTTCCTCTGTATGCCACGATTATTGGGTATTTTACTGATGTAATCCAATTCAAACTTAGCATATGGCACACGACGGTGAATCGTCGAAATAACAAGGAGTCCTTCGCGGCCTGGAGAATTAATGCGAAATTTAACCACAGAAATGATAGCTGCTCTCTGTTTTCATCTTTTATATTAGAGGTTTGGCTGGTTATTTATTCCATCAAATATTTTTTTCATCAAAAATTTTAAAGTACTTTCTTCTTATTTTTGGTCAAAATCCTCCATAATATTGATCGCTGTGTGTGATATATTGGTGTACGTTCGATGATTTTTTTTTCAAAAGCGTAATATGAGGTCGTAATCCTGGATACAGTACCCCGTGATATACCAAATAAAGTTGATTAAATATCCAAAATTTCAGTTACAAAAGTTGCCTTCTCTGAAATTATGTAAATTCACACATTATTTCTTTGCATAGCGCTAAACGATGCTTAGAGTGTAACTCTGGCTTCTTTTTGGTTTGATAGACTTCTTGTCGCATAAGAAATATAAACAAATATAGCGTTACCTGAACTTTTTCAAGTAGCAGCGTTTGCAATTTTAAGCATTACTTTTACGAGTTATTTCGATATACGAGTATTTGTCCAAACTTTGTGTGTCATTTTATACTTTTCAGAAAAACTGAAATCTAAAGCAAATATTCCAGTTGATCCAAGTCAAGGTAGAAATATGCTTGGAGTGCTTGATGAGACTGGTATACTCAACTATGGAGAAGTCTTTATACAGTGTACGAAAGATATTTCTAAAGGTGAAACTACAAAAGATACGATAATCATAAAAGGTATGTTTTTGAATTTATTATATAATTTTAAATCGTTCCCTTCTTTATCCAGATGAGTAGAACATAATTTTGTACTGTAGGAGCGTAGATCAAACGATGTATAATGTTTGAGTCTTGAATGAGACCCAAAGATAAAATTCCAACACATTTTTGAAGACGCAAGAAAAGTGCACTTGGCCGGCACATGTACCACATTAAACTGACGCAAATGCAGAAGGTATGTCGCTCAGCTTTCACATAATATAAGGCACTGACATCGTTCAGATCACGTCATTAAAGTTGTATCTTCAAATGCTCCAATATTTTAAGTCTTAAGAATAGCCTAACTTCACAGAGAAAGAGTTCGTCGATCCAAATTCTAGTGAAAATTGAATTTAGACTTGTTTTAAATTTTTTCATGATCATTCTGGTTTTCTTTTCTTTGCCGTATTTGTGGAATATGGTATAAAAAGCAAATTACTACGAAAACATAATTCAATGACACTGTAGAATTTTTTCATGGAACAGAAATGGAAGATGAGGAATACAAGGGTAATAAAAGTGTTTTAATTTGTATTCTACTGTTTAAAGAATCTAGGTACGTTCATGTGAGCTCGGTTCCATGACTGAATGGACTACCTGCTTTCGCTTTATTTTAAATAAAAATATCGTCAATCTCTTCCTCGCATAAAATTATTCCTGCTGGAATACATGCTTACTTATCACTTGAATGTTTTACGATAACTAAATAACTAATCAAAAACATTTGTTGCCAGAAATGTGAAATATTTTTCTTAACATTTAAAATTTAATATACTGCTTGAAATTAACGGTTACCGATTGAGAACTTTTCAGATGGTGATTAGAAGTTTCAGCGTTCAGCCGATGGACGTACATCTTAAAGTCACAAATAGCGTTTACGAAGAATGATATTCGCCGGCATCAGAATATACTTTATTTTACTTCAAGTTAGAAAAAGAAAGGGATCTAATTTTGACAAAGGCAAGTCGCTACGATAACACAATGATGGTGTTCAAATACTCTAAATGCCGTCATGCTATGCTTTAAAATAATGATGCTGTTCTAAATAGTGTTAGTATTTAGAATACATAGCATCTGTCGAAGATTCTCTGAAACGTGTAACATTCTAAGCCGTCCGAAATTGCAGACTTACTGTTAACGAACGTCAGAGAAAATCTTTGTTTTCTCCATAGGGCTAGATAGGATCCTAGAGCTGATATAATTCGTAATTTTTACCGTACTGATGAAACGTTTGAACTCTTCATCGTATGCTCTTGTATACAGGTCTGCTGTGTCGCAAATCTATTAGTATTTTTGTACAGAGAAGCGCCATACGCGCCATAAAACAGTAGGCGCTTAATTATTGAGATGGTATAATCGGTAACTGAAAAAGAGTCGCATAGCTAGGTAAATTCTTATCTTTGGACCGGAAAGGCTATGTTCTACTTTTACCCAAGGTTTGTTTCTTACCTGAATCACAATAGGAAGTAGCCACGTTCGTGGACAATATGATGTTTGAGCTTGGGCAATAGCTTAGGTTTATCATTTCGATTACACAAAATAATATACTATACCTAACTGAAAATTGCAGCTGAACAAGTAGATATTTTTATGACTAATGTATTATCTCGTAGAGATGACATCTTTTAAAAAGAAAGTATTCCATGCCACAACAGAAAGAAAGTTAGTTAAGGGTTCCAAGAGCACGAAGAGGAGTGACTTTTTGTGCCACAGCTTCCCGATTCTTCGGACATAAATCAAAGGAAGCCTTTCTGGTTTACGAGGAAAGATTACAAGCAATACCATCATAAAAAAAGTATTCTACACACGTCTTCTAATATTTTTTTATATCATGGCATTTTTAAAATTCTCAACCGTTTTCCAGTATCCTCTTCTGAAACCTAGACAATACTAATACCACTTCCATTATTTTCAATAGGTAGCGGGAAGTAGTTTTTATTCATCTTTAAACAGTACGTAAGACAGAAAATTCGTTTTATTACCCCTTATCCTTAATAAGGGCTATACATCATTTCAAAAAATTCCGTTGAAAATTTAATATATATTATCATTTAATTACACAGAAATTAAATTTTATCAGACATCATAAATTAATGAGGATACAAAAAATTGAAGATAAAATTAGTTTTTAAAACTAAATACTGCGACTGTTTAGTGGAATAAATAAACTGAATGTTTATTACAACTAAAGTTATGCTGCATTTGATTGTAGTACTTTCTCAGCGTTAATTATTCAGTTTAGAATGAACATAAAAATGTTATAAAGTTCTAGTTAATTTACATATCCTTTGCTACTAGAACTTCTATGGAAGTGTCTAACGATTATTCGCCGGTCTTCCTATCACTATCAAATATAAGTCCAAACAAGGGTTAAAATACCCTTTTATTCTCTCAAAGAAACACCCACAGAAGGCTCTTCTCGGGCTTACAGGAAAGTTTCCATTTGGGCTTAAGATAGAAAATAAGACTAATTCTAACTAGCTAAACTTTAGCCGAAGCTTACTGGCTTATAAAACTTGCTGGCGAATAGTAATAGGCACCTAAGAGAGTAGTAATAGAGTCTTGGCAGCGACCTGGCCCGAAGGCAGAACCCGCTCTACTGAGAACTTCTGAGCTCTTCTACGGAACTTCTCATTAAACACTGTCCTGCTTCATTTTCATAAAACGCGATACTGAAATCTCACTCTGGCAGACAATTGTAGGTGGAAAACAAGAATTGAAAGGAAAGGGTTTCAAAATTAAAAAATAACTATTAAAAAATTAAAATAATCCCTACATCGTGTTTCTAAGTTTATGAAACTTTAATCTTGTTTGCTTATGTTTCCATTCTAATTTTTAAATGCAGGTGAAGTAGTTGTGACAAAAAATCCATGCCTTTTACCTGGAGATGTAAGAAAATTCATTGCTGTTGATGTTCCTGAGTTGCATCACGTAGTGGATTGCATTGTTTTTCCTAGCAGAGGGCTTAGACCTCATCCAAATGAAATGGCTGGTTTGTATTAAAGTTTCTTAAATTCAAATTTAATTTAAAAGCTTTCATTCTTATAAATTATTTTTTAAATTGAGAGCATAACAAATATTTAATCAAAGAAATTTTGAAAAATTATTTTTGCTTTGGATGCAAAATGAATTAGATTTTAATAGCTTAAAAACTATTAATGGATACAATTCGAAGAGGTTCAACCGTTAAACTAAAATGACTTTTACTTTTTTAGTTTTTATTCGCATAGAAAACTATCCATAAACTTAAAATGAATATTTATGAATTTACATTATTAAAATACGGAAATAAGGAATGAATTTTCTACTGAAATTGTGTCAGAAAAGAAGCTACAAATAACAATTTCTGTGTGGAGTCCAGTGAATGAACTTCTGTCTGTATACTGGGGTAGCAGGAAACTACACAGGAGAAGGGTTCACGTACCCTTTATTAACTAAAATTTACAATGCGTCAACTCGACGCTAACAAACTTCGCCTATACTTGGCCGGTAACTTAAAGTCAGATAATTGAAACTAAAAGTTGAAATATTAACAAGTGATAAAACTAGCCTACAGGGCTCGGCGAGATCCCATAACTTCAACCCCCTTCTAAGCTAGTGGCAGCAAAGCGATGCAATTAAGCCACTTGAACCAGCATTAAAAGCAAACGTACCTACGGCAGAGACGGCAAGCTAGAGCTTAAGTATCCCTTTCTCCTACCGAAACTCGGCTTTTAACTACTGCCTTCAAAATAGAAAATTTGCATTCGTTCACGCGCACTACAACATTTAACTATTCTGGCACTGACAGTTAGGGGAATGAAGGCTTATAGTAAAGTTTCAAATAAAACTTTTAAATTATTAGTTAAAATAAACATAAATCCCTACATCTGAATACGAAGGTTTTCATTCAGTTACATTAAAAGATATACATATATCATAACATATCCAGACTAATTAAAAATTTATAAAAAATCATTTTAAATTTTTCTTTCTGACAATGGCTAATCAAGAAGTATGTAGTGCATAGAAGTTCTGCTTTATACCTAAAGATTGTTCTTTAGAGATTCCTTAGTAATTTATTCTAAGCAAATTATTAAATTTAGCTAGTAGAATGTGAAAGATTGATTTAATAATTTTCTTCAGGATGTACAAAACATAAGGAAAGTTCCCAAATCTCTGTTCAGTATACGTCCAAACTATAAATTGTATGTATGTTTGAACTATAAACGTATGTATGTTTGTGTCTGGGCATTAAGAGAACTGTCAGCTGCGGGTGTTCTTTGTGACGTGTTGTAAAAAGCATTGGTTTGTAACAATTAATATAGAGAACAAGTTTTTTTTTTGTTTCTTTGTAAAAAACAAGGAAGTGCTAAAGATTTCATATTTATTTTTGAAATATTAAACACTTTTAACAATTTAATATAACTATTGTTTCTGGAATATCGTATTTACGTGATAATACAGATACCGGATGATCTTGTGGCGTTCCTCCTTTGATCTAACCACTAAATGTGGAGGAACCTAGTGAATTGTTAAGCGAATAATCGTTTCAGTCCAGAAACAGAAACGTAAAACTCAAAAAGGGTTAATTACCTTTTATTGCTCAAAATAAAAATATACAGTCAGCCCCTTTTTCAGAAAGAAGAACTTTTTTAAGAAATAAGAACTTAACTAATGTTTAACTAAAGAGATGTAGCCGAAGCTAACATAAATCTAACTAGTTGGCCCCTAAATATCGAATTAGCTAGCGAAGCTATCATGGGCCCGTAATACGGCCGAGCGTAGCAACAAAATGTGTGCCAAAAGCCAAATACGCGCAAATCAGAAACTTTCTCTCTAAGAAGTCGGCGGAAATTCTTCTTAAATACTACTCCTACTCATTTGCATTAAACGCGATTCTAAAAACACATTCTGATAGGAAATTGTAAGCTGAAATTAGGATGGATAGGGAAATATCTTTAACTTAAAAATAACTGTTAAAAACTTAGGATGCACTTTACAATGTTATTACGCTAAACAAAATCATATAGATTATATTCCTTAAATAAAAATTAGAGAGATCTGTATTATAAAGTTACATGTGAAGATGACATCCGCTATACCTAGAACAGCAACTGATTCAAAGATTAACTTTATTATCATTATAGTTGTTACCGGCAAATTATGAAATCCGGCATTCTATGGAATATCTAGGCATTTTATAGAATCCTAAAACTGGCTGGCAATATGTAAAGCAATTAAACATTTCATACACTACCTAGGTATTCTACAGAACGTCAAATGACAAAGTATGAAATACACCTGTGTACAAATGCTAAGCACAATTGGTATTTATGTGAATATTTAAGGAAATCTAAGTTAGAATGGCGGAAAACGTGATATGCGACTATATACCATAAGAAAACAATGCAAAAGAACGATATTAATCACTTTTATATTCAAAGAAACAGTTTGACAATTGAAAGAAAACAGCACAAACTAATGGTTTGTACTTTAGTACAAAAA